ACTTGATGTATTATGATCATTTGTAGAATTAGGAATGTTAATTTGTCCGAATGCATGAATTTAATGTATATCTTTTCTGGACTATCTTTCACTTAATGTATTCCTTGAATGGAGCTTTCATTAGTTTATGCCATATCAAGTTCACTTCATATCCTTGCTCCATCACTTAATGATTTTTGATACACTCAATCACTTCATGGATTTTATTGACAAATACATCTTTCATATTTCACTCTTATGAATTTTTAATGAGAAATGGATTTGATATGATGCTCTCCTTATGAAGGTTTATTCATGGAATTTCTTTTATCCTTCGTATAATGATTCTTTCTTAATGAAAGAAGAATCTTTATTTTTTATGAGATGAACACTTGCAAGAATGAGGATTTGATTTCACATAAATATCTTGATCCTTGTGAAAATTGAAGCATGATTTAATGAAACTCTTTTATCATTTTTAACTTCATTCAAATCATTTCACAAAGTTGGTTCTTAATGGATTTTCCTCCTTACTCTCCTTCTTCATGTGAAGTTTTGATGAAAAATAAAAAGGGAGAAATTGATGGAAGCTATCTCTTTAAATATTTATAACTTTTAATGTGAGAACTTTTGAATGATACCATGTCATGAATGCTTGAAATGTGATTAGTATACAAATTGAAATGTGACATGAATTTTTACCACATTTGCATTGTTGAATCGTTCTCCTTTTTGTTAATGAAAAAGGAAGTGAAATAATACCAAAATATGGTAAATTGATGACAAATGTATGCAATGTATTTCATCATATATACTTGAAATGTTTGCTTGATAAATTTTCTTCATTATAATAAGATATCTAGAGCTTAACTTGTAATTTTACAAATTGATATCTTATCATAGAATGATGAATTGCTATCTTTGTTATCTTTCATATTTGAAATATCATACTTGAAAATGGATGTCATGCCTTGACATCATTTTGAGAATGTTAGATTATGATAGGAATCATGATGTGTGTATTGATAAATTTAAATGAACTTAACTTATCAATATATCTCTTGAATTCAAAAGCCTTGAATTCAAGAATGTCTTTTCTCAAGTATCGTATATAGATAGGGGGAGTTAAGGTTAACTACATCATTAATTGATTATCATCATAAAAAAGGGGGAGATTATTGAATCTCGGATTTTGATGATAAAGTCAATTATAATTTGTTTGATCTAATCTATATGTTGAGAAAAGTATGTAAGATTAACTACGATGGTAGTAAGACACAAAACTGGTGTTATGCCAGAGTCAAAATCGAGATCTCATTGGGAGTTCGAGAGTTCAACGAAAGTCTGGACGTTCATCCGAAGTTCTGCGGGAACCAACCGAGAAGTCCATGAGCTTGCCATAGAAGCTCGTTGGAACTCTCAAGAAGATCATTGCAAAGTCTAGGAGCTTGCCAGGAGTCCACCGGAGCATTGCCGAGAGTTCGTCGAATGTTCGTCGAAAGTACGTCGGAAGCTCGCCGGAAGAGCAATTGATGCACCAGAACAAGAAGTGCAGTAAACATGTCTTAATTGTCATAGTTAGAGCGTAAATTAAGTTAAGATTGAGAGGTAATCCCACTAATTTAATTAGGGGCCAATTGGGCCCTTAATAGGGTTGAATTGGGCCGAATTGAGCACCCAATTCAGCCTCTAAATTCTTGGCCGACGGTGGCACCACTAGGGCCGACGATGGCACCGCCTGGAAAGCAGCACCCTAGGAAATATGGACGGTGGTACCGCTGGCATTTATTGCTGCCAGCGGTGGTACCACCAGAGCTCGGTCTTTGAGCTCTGTCAGGCGATGGTACTGCCCAGACTGAGCGGTAGTACCGACCAGTGTCAGGTGTCAGGCAGTGGTACCGCCCAGTAATGGCGGTGGTACCGTTAGGATCTCAGAAATCGGGGATTAGACACTTTTTGGCTCCATTTTTTAAGCTATTGGGGCCTATAAAAACCTCACCCTTTTCTGCATGAAAGGGCACAAAACCTATTGGCATAATCTTGTGTTCTTGAGTCTTAAAGTGTTGTAAAAATTAGAGTTCTCCTCCTTCACCTCTTAGCCTTGTAACCATCCAAGAAAGAGGAGTGAGACTTGTAAGGGTTCATCTCCTAAATCCGGGAAAAGGAGAAAGTGCTGTAAAGAGGTGTTCGGTCTTCACCTATTGAAGGAATGCCTTTAGTGGATGCCGGAGACCTTATCGGAGGAGGAATCCAAAAGTGGATGTAAGTCACATTGACCGAACCACTCTAAATTCTAGTTTGCTTTTCATAAGTGCAATTTACTTTAACTGCAAATCATTTCATAGCAAACTGTTTCTCCTCCTCTTGCTTATGCTCTCATATGTTTTAAGTTGCCATCTTTTGATTCGGTTTTCATCTAACGTATAAAATATTTTATATGAAAATCGAAGAATTTTTCGCTGCATTAA